GTGGACCGATATCGGTGATTTCGACAAATAAGCAGCTTGTTGTGAAAAAAGGCACGTATGCAAATTTTTAGAGTCGTATCTCCTAAACTGAGGCACTAATCCACACGCACAGCCAAGCGGATATCGAGACGATGATTAAAAAACATAACAAATTTTGTGGAAAATAGTTTTTAGTAGTCAAGAGCCGTATGATAAAAATTTTTTTTTTTTCGAAAGGGCAGCAGCACAGTTATTTTAAAAGTATAATCCAAGGCAAAATACTATAGGCTTTATATGTACTTTAATATTTACAGAAGCATACTTTAAGGTGCAAACACACCGCCGGCAATTGCAAGCACATGAATTTAATTTTCACAGCATTTATCTGCCAGGCGATAGTTTACAAGTAAAAAAAACGCACACTAACACACACACACTTTCGTTTTTGTGTGTGAGCGCTTGATAAGCTGACAGCTACCTGCCACCTGACTGCCGCTGCACATGACACTTTATGAACTTTCTCGCATGTGGTGGTGTGTGAAGCGCCGCTAGTTTGCATATGCAAAGGCAGCTTTTATACACCATAAAGTCACACATACGCGCGCACACAAAGGTGCTTGGCTGGCTGTGTGCATGCATTAACCTTTTAGCACCGTTTGAATTGAGTGGCGAGTGCGTTTGAGAGCGAGCGTATGAACACTGCGGCCATTTGTGTCAAAGTTTTCGCCTACGACCTGCCCACTGACATGAACTCCGCTGGCTTGCCACTTTATTTTTCATAAGTAATTAAACTATCAGCATGACAGAGAGGCTGGACCAGACGCCCGACGCAGCGCAACGCGCAGCGTTTGTACGCAGCGGTTTGCGATTGAGCGACGGCCTTGCAGGGAAATATGTATGTCGTGCACTTCTGAACATTCTTTACTGCGAGCATATTATATGGTCTTCTTCCCAATTTTTTGTAGTTTTTGTTTTTTTTTACCTTTTTTAATATATATTTTTTTTAATTTATTTTTTTCTTTCAAATTTTTTATTTTTTTTTGTAAATTTTTTTTTTTTTGCATTTTTTATTTCATTTTCTCATATTTTTTTTATACAATTTTTTTTTGTTTCTCATACCTTTTTTATAGCAAAAGTTGTTGCATGCGACATCAGCGAGCATAGAGTTAAGCAAGTTGTCGACCATGTTGTCGCTTGCGCAAAGTAGTTGACGCCTGCTGAGCCTGCATATTTGTGCAGTCGCTTAATGTCACAGGTACAATATACGCCAGCACAGACAAATATGTGAGTGTGTCGGTGCAAAAAGGTGACCTTGCGGCATAAAGCTGACAAACAACGTGACAACAACAACTTTCCAAAGCTGCAGCGACATTAGTGTTAGCTGTTGTTTTATTATTGTTGTTGTTGTCGTACCCGCTGTTGTATCTGTCTCTGTAGGCCTCTGCCGAAGTGCACTTGCCACCACCACGTCAAGCGCTTTGCGCGCACACACTCATATTTGCATGCACCTGTGTGCCAAGTAGCGACGCACGTGCGGGTATGTGTGTGTACTCATGCGCTTGTGTGTGTACTTCCATTATCTTGTGGCATTAAGTAAGTTCTTTTGCCGCAGCGCACTTTTAAGTCAACTTTAATTTGAACCACAAAAAGTTTGTTGCATAAAACAGCAGGCCGAAAGTAAGTGGCTTGCAACACAGCGCATAAAGCTAAGTTGCACAAACGTATGTGTTGAACAGTTATGTATGTGTCAGCGCATGTTTGCGTGCTTGTGTGTGTTTTCACTTAACTAAAAACCTACGTACCCTAGCGATTTCTAACTGTTTACTAACACTAATGCTTATGACACACACAGCAGCCAGCAGCAACGGTAAACAAACACATCGGCAGGCAAGTGCAGAAGTCAGCTGCTTTCATGTGGTTTGTTATTGTAATAAACTGCAACTGTGGGTGAGGGTTGCACGAAATGTGATTTGCTGATAATGCAAAATGATAAAAAAAAATCAATATTTTTAAAAATTCAATCCTTTTAAGAAAGAATTAAAGAAGCTATAAGTTAAAAAATTTTATTTAAAAAAGTATTATTAAAAATTTTTAAAAGTACCAAATTTTTTAAACGAATAAATTTTTAAAAATCTATTTTTTTGTTTTAATTTGAGAAATTTTTAATATTAAACAGGCTGTAAGTTAAAAAAATGTTAACATTATTAACGTCTTATTAATTCTCTCAAATTATTCTAATAATTCATAAGTGTTTCAGTTGCAACGAGGTTGCCACTCTTTCAAAAAAAACTCATCAAAATTTCTAGGCAAGTGAAATGCATTGGCTTTTTACAAAACTTTGTGAAAAACCTTCATTATAAAAATATTGTAATATTTTACGAAGTTGCCATCCGACCTTAGGCATATGTATGTATGTTGAAAAACAAAATTCAAAAAAACACTAAAAAAATTTTAACTTAAGTCTACAAACAAAAGTTTAAATCGTTTTTGAAGATCAAGCATCAGTTTTTTAGTTACCGCGAGGGTGCCACCTTTAAAAAGAACGTAAAAAATTTGAAATGCTTAAAAGTTTAAGCAAAACAACATGAGTAACAAATTTCGTCATGAAAATATTGTAATATTTTAACTAGTTGCCACCCGACTTTTGGAAAATGTTTTAAAATAAAATTCGAACAAAACAAAACAAACAAACAACGTCTGCAGACAAAAACTTAAATCTATTCTAAAGCTCAAACACAAGTGTTTGAATTGCTACAAGGTTACCACACTTAAAAAAATTCGTTAAAATTTCTAAGTGCTTAAAATGATTAAGCCTATTACAGTAGTAATTGAAACATCTTGATTTCAGGAATTTCATTTTACCGAGTTGCTACCCGATTTAAATCAAATGCAAATTCAAAAAAAAAATAAAAATTTAATTTCTGCACACAAAAATCTAAATCGTTTCTAAAACTCAAATATATGTAAGTTTTTAAAATGCCACAAGTTGCCACACTTTCAAAATATTTTCATTAACATGTTTAATAGCTTAAAAATGAAGTATATTTTAATGGAAAATTAAACATTTTGGCTACAAGAATAATGTTTTACGGAGTTGCCACCCGACCTTGGACAAATTTTTATTAACAAAAATTGCAAAACCCATAACTTAGCTATCAATCATCAATAATGTTACGGAAATCGATTCATATTCCATGCTGAGACTACAACTCAACTCTGTGTTACTCATACGTCAGGGGGTACTTTATGTATAGTGAGCACTTACATTATGACAAATAAGTATGCATCAATATTCCCACCAGTGTTACAGACTTATGTCAACGATTTTTCTCGAAACCTTTTTCATAAGCACCATCAGCGGGTTTTTTTTAACTCTGCGATCGACTGAAGACAGGTTCCATGGTGGGGCAATTTCAGTTTGAGGTTCAAGAATTAATCACACTGAGCCACAACGTGGTGAATACAGTGGTAGATCGATTCGGGTTTTGGTTTAAATTCGGTCATAATCGTGGCTCCATGCGCTGGTCCCTTATCATCATGTTAATTTCCTTGTGGAAGAACACAATTCCGATCATTTTCGACGGATGGTCTTACGCAAATGCCTAAATACGGTCAAATAGAACTCTTTATTGACCGTCTGTCCTTCCGGCACAAATTCATGACTCAACAAACCACAAATATCGAAAACTCATGGTGATTTTTAGGCGGCTTTGGCTGGTTTTTTTTTTTTTTTTTTTTTTTTTTTTTTTTTTTTTTTTTTTTTTTTTTTTTTTTTTTTTTTTTTTGTTTTGGTTTTGGCTCTTTGTTTCCCTCCATTGCGATAATTGTTGACTTGTTTGCATATCAAACCCACGCTTCACATTGAAATATAAGAATATTTTATTAACACCCAGCTCTACTTAATCATTTTACAAAGTTTCCACAAAAATTTTGTTTAAAAATGTTCAAAGCACCCAACTTGGTATTAAATTACCATAAAAATACATACACATGTGGCATATGTAGTACATAAAAACGGGACTCAAAGTTACATAACACTTGACTTTGGTAGGAAGGAGGCTAAAAAGCATATGTTTAGTAATATATATATATCTATAAAATATTATATGCAAATGTATATGTGATGATATATTTCGTACACTATATAATTCATTTATGTGTTCGTCAATATATATATATACAACTAATCTCATATAACTCATATACGAATGTCTCATACGTTACGTATACGCAATGTCGGCTGAAAAAGGCATAAAAAACTTTTGTCATCAAATTATATATAAGTAAATATATGCAACACGCATACATTCTCGTATAGCGACTACTTAAAACTATACCCTCCACACCTAAGCGCACAGTAATAAAAAACGTCGTCGGAACTCAAATAAAAGCACGAGCATATGTGTTGCTATATTATGTTGTTAAAGTGTGTGTGTGCAGCGCCACTCACACACATACGATCGTACCTCAAATTATTATATCATTAAAGAATTTTTCATTGCTTATTTGTTGTAATTTGTGGCAAGTAGTCACTGAAGTAGCAGGGTTAGCAGTGGAAGAGCAAGAGAAAGTTTAGCGACAGTTTGGCAAACCACACACAAATATGTTGGCAAACAAATAAACCCGTAAACACACACATACATCTAGGTATATATAAATATGTGTGGCATATACAAGTTAACCGTAATGTTGCAAAATTGCACAAAGGAATTTACTGCTTTAATAGTTTGGAGTTTTATGCGGAACTTCGACGATTGGATCCATGCGCCAGGGTAAAGTGTGTATTTTAGCCACACAAGCGCAGTTTTAACTGGCAGCAGTTTTATTTAAAAAAATCTTTATGGAACCAAAAAGTTTACAAAAACAAAAATTTTGTTGTTACGAGCTTGAAAACAGAAAATATCTCAAAATAAAAAAAATAAATATTCTAACAAACATTCAAAATCTCTCCACTAATGCTTTTTTTAAAAATATTTTGAAAAAAAATTAATATTTTTGTATTATTTTCTCAATAATTGCAGTGCGTCTGCCGCTTTGACCGCCAAGGTGCACTGTGCGAGTTACCCATCATCATCAAGAATGCCGCCTTCTCCGGCGATTCATATGTGTCGCACCGCATCCACAAGGACATACCACATCATGACTCATTGGATTCGGTGCTGCCAATGCATGTACAACTGAAGGTGCGCACACGTGCCACAAACGGACTGATAATGCTGGCCGCTGCTCAGGGCACCAAAGGCGGTCACTATATGGCGTTGTTCCTGCAGAAGGGCCTATTGCAATTCCAATTCTCTTGCGGTTTACAAACGATGCTGCTCAGTGAGCTGGAGACACCGGTGAATACGGGCAATGAGATAACAATAAGAGCCGAGTAAGTACTGAAGGAGCATATTTGCAAAATATTTTTAGGATTCAGCTTGATCGTGAAAATAATTGTATTTTTATATTAATGTATGTGCCTATCTTTCTATTTAGTACAAGTATAATATTAAAAGTACCACTTATTAGAATTTTGAAGTTTTTAAAAAATTTGGCATATATTAAGGCGCTTTTGCACAGAAATGGCATTATGGTATATATACACATAATGTAACGTAGTCATAATCACATAAATTCAACGACAGTTCTCTAATGTAGCTAGATCGAGGAAAACCGATCAGGAATTTACAATTTTCGAAATTAATTTCATAATTCTAGGCGGCGATAATTTTTTTTTTCTTATGATAGAGATGTCATAATTACAAGAACGGAACAATCAGGTTTTTCATAAAAATGTCCTAAACAAAAAGAGGCAACAAACATTTACTAGTGTGGCCGGATCGTGTAAAGAAGGTCAGCAATTAAGATTTTTAAAAAATATTTGCATGTTTTTAGGCGAAAATATTTTTTTTTTTGTATAATTGAACAAAGAAAAAATTGTGGCTGTGTCCAGACCGAATCGAGTAAAGAAGATATGGAACTCAAAGTTTTAAAAATTCTTTGCACACTTTTAGGCGGAAATCCATTTTTTGCCTATAGCACAACCAACGAATAATTTCTGTGTGGCCAGATATAACAAAACGGATCAGTATTTCAAATTTTTAAAATATATTTACGGCTTTTAGGCGGTATTTTCTAATAATATAAAATGTGTATAAAGTTTCGGTAGTTTAAAAATATTTGCCTATTTTTAGGGGTCAAACAACTTTCATCAAAGTCAAATCCATTCACTTTCTCAAGCCTTAACATTTAAATTCTCTAAATTGAAGCTCCTTTACCATTAGACATTTTCTTATCTTGGAAGAAACAGAGCAGCCAAACTTTGCATCCATGTTTGGGTAATTCGACTGCTTAGCCATTGTCAGCAAACAATGTAAGCCCACTGGCGTAATAGCACTTAATCCAACAATAACCACACACACACATTCACACATACGCATACATGTGTACTTCGTGGCTACAAAGCCAGACAAGCCGATTGAGTAACCGAAGCCAACGCCATTTGACAGACAAATCAATGCAAATACTTGGTGGTCGTACACAAACAACAACAACACTAACAGTCATAACAATAACTACAATGCTAGCCGTGGTAAAGGCAAACGTCAAGGAAAAGACGCGCGTCAAAGCCACCTAAGCAACGAGGACGAGTGCCAGGACAATTGTTATCGCGCTATAATTATCGTAATTGCGTGCACACAATAATGACTCTTGAGGAAGTCACCCCACTCCATGCAACGCAGCGCTGTATGCGAGCGATTGCAGTTAGCGCTCGGAGTGAAAACGTTGAGGGTGGTTAGATAGGAAACACCGCCGAAGGACATCATTTTGGCGTGAAAGCTCATTAAGGCTAAAAGCGGTAATTTCATGAATGAGAATGCCCTCCGCTTCCGTTGGCGCAACGCGCATCTATTTACATACCGTTATACCTGACGGTGTGAAAGGAAGGGGCTGCACTTACTACAACATATTCTAGGTTTGCCGATGGCGATATTTATTTTCTTGCTTTCTCCGCATCTTCCCTCATTCTATTTGTGTGTTGGTCTTTGCCTTACGAATTTCCTTTGACTAAATAAGTGTTTACCCGTRTTAGTTTTATTGGTTCCATTTGCTTACCTACTTATTTCTCTATTTTCGATATTCGTTAAATAGTCCCCGGTGAGCAATAAAAATGTGGTTTGTGTCGTGTGTACTCTTTTTTTACAAGCTTGAAGAGTGCATTATCCGCTAAGGATTTGGCAAGCCATAAAGTATATGCGCCGTAATAAAAGCGCACATACACATAAACATACACATATATGTGTGTGCATATGTTATATGCATATATATATGACGTGCTGGCACTCTTATATACTATGTGTTCGTATTTATATRTGTGTCTACTTGCTCATATCACCGAGAGCTGAATAATCTTAAACTGCCGTCTGGCATTATTATCGTTCAGCCTGAGTGCTGGCATTAGTGGGGCAAAATGGTCAAGTGCGCCTTGAGCCAAAATGTTCAAATAGTGTACTCAAGTAATGCACTTCAAACGGTTATTATCTCCCATACACACATATGCACGGCAGCATGTGATATTTACTTGCACTTGTGTATGCCATTATAAGTTCGATTCTGTGTGTGTGTTTACTATTTGAGCAACCAAYAATRAATKGAACCCATTCTATAYGTCATTAGATTGACTARTAGTAAAAATGGMGGAGAATCAATTGTKTAARCATCTAACATTTTATGAGACTTTTACAACACTTTGACTTGACTGYTMCATTAAATGACAATGCGCCGAAAAGTAGGCAACTATCGAATTATTTGCTTATTTTTTAAGCGAAATAAAGTTTTATGGTATTGTGTTATTGCAGGGAGTTGCTGGATAATGCTTAAACCTCATGCGGTTCACCGCCTTTTCAACCAACTAAGGTTTAGCATATAAATTATGGACATTTTTCTTAAGGTGGCATTCTAATCCAGAAMAATAATCACGACCTARTCCCTCAGTTTTTGAGATATCGGTTTGAAATTTTGCGCACCTCTTTTTCTCCTCAAGGTGCTGCTAATTTGTCAAAAACACCCATATCAAGGAACTATAAGGTATAGCTGGCATACAAACTAACCCACCAAAACGTAGTTCTTGTATGAAAATCTTCTTTATTTGAGAATATATCTTCACGTAATTCGACTTAAGTTATTCTCTAAGATAATGGTACAATCTCTGAAGAAATTATTTAGATTCAATTACTATGGCATATAGCTGTCATACAAAATGAACGATCGGCATCAAGTTCTTANTAAGATAATGGTACAATCTCTGAAGAAATTATTTAGATTCAATTACTATGGCATATAGCTGTCATACAAAATGAACGATCGGCATCAAGTTCTTATATGAAGAGCTCTCTCATTTAAAGAGATATCTTCAAGAAATTCGGTATGTTCTATTCCCTAAAGCAATGTAACAATATTCGAAGAACTTTTTCAGATCGGATTACTATAGCATATAGCTGTCACATAAAATGAACGATAGGAATCTATTTCTTGTATGGAGACCTCTTTGATTTGAAGCTATATCCTCAAGAAACTCGATGTGGATTATTATCTAAGTATACAGCGCGATTTATGAAGAAATTATTCAAATCAGATCACTATAGCTTGCCAATATTGCTGCCATAAAAAATGAACTTTCAAAGGGAGCTTTGGTATGTAGTCTATTGTATTTGTGAAGTTAATGTTTTTTCTTGCTTTAATTCAAATAATACTTTGTATTTGATTCAAATTTTTTTTTAATATTTTTTACAAATTTATTTACTTATAATTATTATTTTTTCTATTTTCAATTTAAATTTACTTATTTCAAATACAACTACACTTTCGCATTAAATGTTCCACATAAGCATTTATACGATTCTATATGTAGATAAAAATATGTGCCATCTTCGCTTTTGTTTCATTGAATACTTACAGCTCTTTACGCAAATCCATCAGCATGTGGCAAGATGTGCGATTTTCGCTTCCACATGAAACGACGGTCAACGAGTTTAGCACGAAATACGCATTACCAAAGCACTCGGAAATTTATAGCTCGTAAATAGGCAAATAAATACGTAAACTACTGCCACTAATACATAGGCACACACACACACTCATGCTACACTTTTTACGCACTTATCTGCACTTGCAGGCTCTTGGCTCGCCCATTTTCGCCTAATTTCCGATATTATGGTGCTCACTCACTCAGCTGATCATTTGCGGCGCCTTTGCTTGGGTCCTTTTTGGTCATGGCCAACAAACCATGTAAGTTGGCTTATTGCACTTGAACAACGCTTGGCTGGTGGGTTAAAGTGAAAGTGGTGGTCTGATGTGCGGTTGAATCAATAAAATCATAAAAAACGTGCACACTCACATACGTTTATAACTGTTTTTGTACTACATATATGTAATACATATGTCTGTGAAGTGGCGTACAAATATGCTGCCTATGAAATATGTGTTTTTGAGTTATTAAATGCTCATTCAAGCTCAAGTGCTGGGTCAAGTGTAGTATGTGTGTATGTTGGTAATACATAGTTTACATACAAGAATAATATATAAACATAATTGTTCTATGGTGAAAAAAATCAAATGTGGGAAAAAATCCAACAACTTCGAATAGAAGTATTCCTGTCAACTTTTAGAACACATATTCCTCCAGAAAATATTAAAATATCACAAAAACTAGAAAAAATGTTGGCTTCAACTTCACCGTAGCTTGAACACCCTTCACACGTGCATTTTTATCTTGCTTTTCATTGATCAATTTATAAGGAAACTATATGATATAGTGGTTCTACCGGAATAATTTTTTCAAAAATTATAGCACTACTTTGAGTAATAATCTATGATAGATTTCGTGAAAATATCTTCACAACTAAAGAATTTTTTCATACAGTAGCTTGATTTTGATGGGTCAGTTTGTATGACAGCTATGTCCTATAGTGGTCTGATCAGAATAATTTGAGTCAGAGTTTATAGTATAGTCTTAGACAAAAGTCTATGCCAAATTTCGTGAAGATACATTGACAAATAAAAAAGATTTCCATACAAGAACATGATTTGAATCCTTCCGTTTGTATGGCAGCTATATGCTATAGCGGTCTTATTTAAACAGTGTCTTCGGAATTTGTAGTGTAGTCTTAGGCAAAAATCTGTACCAAATTTCGTCAAGATATCTTCACAAATAAAAAAGTTTCCATACAAGGACCAGAATTTGAACGTCCGGTTCGTATGAGAGCTATATGCTATAGTGATCCGATATCAGCGGTTCTCAGAAATTAGAAGCTTCTTGAAGAGAAAAGGACGTATGCGAAATTTCAGAGTCATATCTCAAAATCTATAGACAGATATGATTAAATCGACCCAACTCACCACGCCAATGACATTAAAGACAGTGTATGAAAAAAGTTCAGGTCTTTGGCCAGCTATCATAACTAATGGTTATTTTTATTTGTTCGTAAGTTGAAACAAATTTTTAAAATTTTAAAAGCAACCCAAAATCTCTCGAGGAAGCATAGCACACTACCCGAAAAATCTACAAAGCTTGCCTGATAGATAACCAATCGATTTAATCGTTCACTTAAATATACATACATATATGTTCATCACTAAAGTTAAAAAAATTGCATAAATATTATATTTTATATCACTGCCTTTAATAATAGAAATACTTAGAATTATTCCGAGCATGAATCCAAAAACAAAAATCACAATATTTTTACGCTTCATTTGACTTTCAAAACTAATTTTCTTAATGCGAAATTTCAATGCAAACTAATGGATTGAAAGAAAACTTATGAAATTCCCAAAGCCAAACTTAGTAAACGAATTGTCAATGGTCAAGCTGAAATTCATCAATAAAAAGTTTTTGGCAGCACCGCCACCCGCTTTTCCAAGCTATTGAACAAACGAAAGCCCGAAACACAAAGGCGACCGAACACGAGTGGGGCGCACAGTGCTAGCAAATAGACTCAACTAGACAAGAAAACACTCGAATGCAAGTATATATATATCTGTATATGCATACATATAGTATATTCATGAGTGTGTGCCTGTGCATAGAAAATTTATCAATGATTTAGCTACAACTCACCTGTGCCTTGAGTTAACCGAAACCGACAATCAGTGACCCAATTTGCTGCTGCAATTCCTGACAAACACTAAAATAACAAAAAAATATACAAATTGAATAAGGGCAAAGTAAAAAAATATATAAAAACTAAAAAGCAGAAGAAACATAAAAAAGCAAAGCAAAAAATGGGAATTCGAAAATAAGCAATATGGCCCTCATTTCTCATATGAGCTACTAATAGGGGCCATTTCTCATTTCTTCCGCTTTTACTTTATTTCAATTTCTTGATATTTTTTTTTTTTTTTTTTTTGTTGTTTTCTAATATCTTAACTGAATAGAAGATAGAGACATGTCAGGAATTGTTTAGCGCAAAAACTACGAAGAGGGAGCAAAATAAATAAATATTCTGCAATCCATGCAATTGTAACTCACTAAGTTCTACCCTCGAATGTCACATAAAAATGTCCGGACAAAGCTTAAACGGTAAAAAAACAAAAGAGAAGCAAATGTAAAGAAATTAAATACAAGCCGCGCAACATTTTACAGAATATCAGGGGAAAAAGAAAGTAAGAAAAATCCTTGCAAAAGCAATAAATTTGTAAATGGAGAGACAACACAAAGGGCACGCATTGTTCATGCAGAGACCAGGGAACACTTAAAAAGAAAGAATAAGAAGCAAATAAGGTGCATAAAGTACGTAAAGTGCGTGTGGAACCGCATGTTAGATGCGCAGGAGAGTTTAAAATACTGAGTTCAAAAATTACTAGAAATAAGTAAGTTTTTTAGCTTCGACACCTATTTACCTAATATAACCTTAAACTACAGCTTAATATAAGGGTTTCAGCTTATTTGTCATTCAGCGCTTTATCCAGTAGTCATGATCTTGAACTGAATATATACGCTTTATTCAGCATTCATTCTCTTGAGCTGCATACCAGCTGAAAGCTGAAAGCCAAAAGTTTGTGAAGTTCTTTCATTATGGTATTCCGCATTTTATTTAGTAATTACAATCTTGAACTGAATATGTAAACTACAACTTCATATACGGTTTCTCAGCTTAGCGCTTAGCTTCAGCGCATAATTCAGCTCTCATTCTCTTGAGCAGAATATGTGCGCTTTATTCAGCTTTCATTTTCTTGAGCTGAATATGAGCTGTAAGCCAAAAGCTTGTTACGTTTTTTTATTCTAACTTTCAGCACTTTATTCGGCAATCAAAATCAGGGTCTAAATATGTGCGCTTTATTCAGCTTTCATTTTCATGAGCTATAAACTGTAAGCCATAAGGTTGCTAGATTCTTTCATTGTGGTATTCAGCGCTTTATTCAGCAATCGTAATACTGAGCTTTATGCGCGCTTTATTTACTTTTGCTTCTCTTGAGCTAAATAAGTTCTAAAAGCCAAAAGCTTGTTCGGTTCTTTCATTCAGGCATTCAGCGCTTTGTTTAGCAATCGTAATCTTGAGCTGCATATGTGCGCTTTGATCTGCTCTCATTCTTTTGAGCTGAATACGATCTGAAAGCCGTAAAATTGTTAGGTTCCTTGATTGTTACATTCAGCACTTTATTCAGCTCTCATTCTCTTGAACTGAATACATTACGTTACTTATCGCAAGGTCAAAGGAACGAGTGCGATTTAAAATGCGTTTATATATATAATAAACGTTAACGGGAATCAGAAAAATGCAGCCAAAATTTACGTCTTCGTTTCCCTTACAACTCTACGCGCACATTCGGTTTAAACCGTTATTTGAACAAATTTGTTATACTCAGCGCAACATCTGGTGAGAGTATCAAAATGAAAGTGAAAGATATTTTACTTTAAGGTGTACACCTCACAATAAATACAAGGACACATGTATAAATACATATACACACTCTGACGCACACACCAGCACTCGGCGTGATTGAAGTACATTGTGGCAATTTCGCCGCAAATTCCTGCTGCCACTGATTCCCGCCATCGTGGACGCATCTTAACAATATAGCTTTATATTTGTTGTCATTGCTACATTGTTGTTGCTTTTGTTGTTGCCAATAAAATTCACGTGTGTAACAATAAGGCAAAACACTCACGCACAAGCAGGTGGCACGCGGTCGCTATAAAATACAACTTGATGTCGCTACAATGCTACTTATAATGGGCTACAAAGTAAGCAAGAATAAACAACAACAGCAAAAAGAGTTGGTAGTTAAACATGAATTCAAAGTCGCATTATTATGCATAGGTGGCAAATATGGTAGAGTTCGAAACACTTACGAAGGAAAATAGAAAGCAAAATAAGATTTGTTATGGAAGCCGTAGCAAATACAATCAACTAAATTGTGGCGGAAGGAGATTCTGCAGGAATATTATATGCATAAATTATAATAAGCAATTGTAACTTAAGATTTGCTAAAGGAAATCGGAGAATAATTTATTATTTTGTATGGAATTTTGGTTTATGCGCCAAAAAGTAGGCAATATATATACATATAATATTTTACTATGTATGTAGTTGACAATCGATGATGAGAAACGATTCTGGTACTTTCGCTACTTAACTACCCGTTACCTTAAGATACAGCTCCATATAATATATAAGGATTTTCAGGTGCTTTGGCATTCAACGATATATGTATTTATTATCATTATTTTAAGCAGAATAAGTGCTGGAAATCAAAAACTTATCAGGATTTTTTCCAGCGGCATTCAGCGCTTTATTCAGCAATCGTTACCTTAAGCCGAATCAATATGGAAGCCAAAAATTTATCAGGTACTTTCATTGTGGCAATCAGCGTTTCTTCAATTATCAGTATCTTAAGCTGACTAAGTATTGAAAGACAGAATCGTATCAGTTACTTTCTTTGAGGCATTCGGCACATCTTCAGGTATTATTATCTTAAGCTGAATAAGTACTGCAAGCCAAAAGTTTGTCAGTTACTTTTATTGCGGCATTCAGCGCTTTATTCAGCAATCATTATCTTAAGCTGAATAAGTATTGAAAGCCATAAGCATATTAGTTGCTTTCATTATGCTCTAATTTTCTCGAGCTGAATATTGCCCTTATCGCAAGATCAAATGAACTAATGCAATAACAAGTTTAAGACGACCTTCGACAGATTTAAGAATTTTTAAGTAACATTTTTTTGGCAAAAGTAAGCTGAAGGATCTACCAATGCTTACCTTTATCAGCTTTTCAGCACAAAACATTACCTGGAGGTGTGGGAAATGAAAATTTGTTGATCAGAAATCCTAAGAAATATATATATCTCAGGGCTACTTACTGTTATTTTTACGCACAACGAAGCACCGAAAATAGGTTGTACTACCCAAACGAATATTAAAAGAGGCACAAAAAATTAATCCATAGACCTAAAAACATAGTAAATTTGCAGAATAATTCTAATACATAAACAAATTCTTATAAATTTAAACTGGTTACCGACTTGGAAGATCCAAAAATATATGTATGTGTTTACAGGTTTTTCTCTTGCCATTATGTTTTATCAACTGTAGACCTTCATCTTCTATCATTTTACCATTTTCTCCATGAAAAATGGAAAAGCTCAACAAACGTTGCCTACATTTAGGCATAAATGATACAATTACTATGCAAAATAATAAACTTGAAATTAAATAGCCCCTAAAACCGTCACTTACTTTCGTTTTCATCAATTTCTGTAAAACTAAAAAACTTTGCCTACATTTAAGCTCATATATGATAAAGGGTCTATTCGAAATAATAAACTCAAGTAAGGTTGATCCTTATATAATACTTATAAAATAAACTCAACAAAAACACCAAAATGGAATCAAATTTTTATATTTCTGTAAACTTAAAAAACACTTATTCTTTCAGTTGCATACATTTAGGCGCAATAGTACTCATACACTTTTCAACAGTAAATGTTTTTCATATAGACTCGGGTAAATTTATTTTGAAAATAAAACCCCTTTTGCACCTGCATTTAATTTAATTTACACTGTGCAGCCCAGTAAACAATATAGGAATATTCAGTTGTCTGGCACCCGAGGCAAAAATCGAAACAGTGTACTTTTAACGAAAAGTCCAAAGCGTATACTAACTTTATGTCAAGGAATTTCAACTATTAGCAACAACGTGTACACTGTTACTTACTACCACATACACCTCCCACATACAGTCTCCACAACATCCCACACAAATTGGTACACAAATTGCACATATGACTGCAGCCACATATATTCCAGCATAGTTTATTTATATAACATATTGAATTTTTGCTATTGTCACATACACTGCGCATACATTCATGTACATGTGAGTATGTACTTATGTACGTATATCGTAAAAACAAATTTCCTCCGGCCAGCACCCACATTTCCTTCACAGGCTGCGCTCTTTTCCGGCGCCAACAAAAACATATGCAGCAGCTTACCTTTGACTGACCGCCAATAAATTCCTGTTCAAGTACATTGTGCAAGCGTTGGCAGGCGCACGTGCAACCATGAACACAACAACAACAAGCTATTAGCATTGGCATACTTTAACACGTACAAACATAGTTCTAAGTTAACAATCAACGGCAAATAAATAAAAACGGAAATGAAAGAGATCGTCGAATGCAAAAACAAAAAGAAAAAATAACGTTAACTTCCGTTGCACCTAAGCTAGAATACCGTTCACATATAAAAAAGTTTCCTTACAAGAAACGGATTTTGATCGTGAAATTATAAAGTTTTTCATACAAACACTTTATTCCGATCGTTCATTTGTATGGCAGCTATATTCTATAGTGATCCGATCTGAATAATTTTTTCGGACATTGTATTATTGGCTTCAGGAATAATCCATGCTGAATTTCGTGAAAATATCTCGTTAAATGAGGAAGTTTCCCATACAAGCATTTGATTAAGATCCTTCAGTTTGTATGGCAGCTATATGCTATAGTGGTCCGATTTTAAAATTTTTTTCGGAGATTGTATTATTGTCTTAAATAATAATCTATTTCAAATTTCGTGAAGATATGTTGTCAAATAAAAAAGTTTTCCATACAAAAATTTGATTCCGATCGTTCAGTTTGTATGACAGCTATATGCTATAGTGGTCCGATATTGACAGTTTCAACAAATGAGCAGCTTCTTAATGAAAACAGGGCAGCTGCATAGTTTGAGAAGGATATTTCAAACACTGAAGGACTACTCTGTGTAGGGTATAAATAACCTTGCTATTTACTGCTGTTTGCTGCTCATGCAACACAAATACTAGCTCACCTAAAGTCACAAGTTTGTGTGATCATGGTGACAGCACGTTCCTTAGTTGCTGAGTTCGGCGCTGCCAGCGCACCTTCACACCTTTGCATTGACCTGCGACCTGACATCGCTGCCTGGGCGCTCGTCGCTCTACTATTGTTGACTACTGTAGCGCTGGTGAGCTGTTGTTGCTGGTGCTGTGTAATTTCGCTTTTCGTTTAAGAAACTTTTACAAGCTCGTAAATAAGCTGGTAAAAATTTGCGCCACAAATAACTAACGCATAAATAAAGTACCGCTACAAAACGCACACACCTAATGGCTGGTGGCGGCAATAGTTGTCGCAGCTGGCGAAAGTTACCTTGGCAATTTTCAGCAAACAACGTTTTTAATGAATTTTTTTTCACGATTTTTGCGTAAATTATCACAGCAAGCCATTTACCGACGGTATTTTCTCACACTTTTCCGCCGTTACGCATACATGTGTGTGACGAAATTTTCCAATTAATTAAATGTTTATGCACTGAAATGAATTTCCGCATGCAATTACACTTAAATATACGCATTTGCGCATAACACAAATAAACCATATACTCGCATGTATGTTTACACTATATTTCCATGTACCAAAAGTTTATCTCTTAACTTGTCACTTCCTTTTCCTAACTTTCGTTTTTTTCTCTCATTTATTTTCTTTGCAGATTGGACTTCAGTCGCAATTACACGCACTGCAATGCCTCACTGTTGGTCAACGACACGCTTGCCATGTCGGGCGATCAGCCGACCTGGCTGAAATTGCTGCCGCCGCGCATGCACACACCGGAAGTGATACTCAATACATGGTTGCATTTAGGTGGCGCTCCACAAGCGCCGATCGGCCTGATTATCGAATTGCCACCAGCTCAGAGTGGCACCGGCTTCACGGGCTGCCTGCATTCGTTGCGCATAAACGAAGAGACGCGCGAGATATTCGGGTGAGTAGTTGGGGAACAATGATGTTAATATATAATATATGGCGAATATACGCGGTTATAGTTTTGAAAGCCATTTGCTTGGTACACTGTATTTCTGAAGAAATTTCTGTTGCAAAATTTTTTAGTTAAGTCTTCCCATTATAAGTTCCCACAATAAGTCGTATAAGGCACTCAGTTAAACAAAAATTTGGAGTCGTAAATCAATTTCTTAGCTTTTGAGTGACAACTGAGACTCTCAAGAACAACCGACAGATCCTTTCCAAGTCTCTTAAAATATATTTTTTATGAAATCTCGAACAAAAAGTAAACATATATTCACACCGAACATGCCGAATTTGACTAAGAAAGACAAGAAAAAAATTTTCTGGAAGAATTAAAGGTTATACCGCCGAACTGTAAGCGGAACAACGTATTGCACTGAATAAATAATAGGCTCTCTTGTATAGACTCAAATGAATAAAAAGTTCGATTCAAATTTGAGGAAATGGTGTAAGACAAGATAAGATAAATATATGAGGATTGCATCTAACCCCAGCATATTGATAAATTCCAATATACTGCTAGGTGCTAGGGCGATCTTTATATGGAAACATGGATTCTAAGGCCTTTATACCCCGCCTGCAGACTGCTAGACAATCAATTAGCAGATGTTGTGGAGTTTCAGACTCCCTGTCGCAGGATGGTACATGGCACATGCTTTGCACTTGTTGGCAACACCTCTCTCTGCCTGCTCCTTCTTCTTAGCGCAGCTGCTCCTTTCTGGTAGGAGGACCCAACGCAACGAAGTGTTCAGGTCCTACCATGTTAGTGAATGCTGCGGAGGACGCGAGCTCATCAGCCAGTTCATTCCCGGTCATCGTGGTGTGGTAAATGGTGTAACCTTTAATTATATTTTCGCTGTCTTTGAATGCAAATGTAGTTTGATTGGTACGAAATTGTTTTAAAGGAATTATTCAAAACGTTGTCCATCGCTAATCACAACTTTTTTCTGACATTTTTCTGGCAAAACACGAATACCATTATGGTATTCATCTTGTGAAGCTATCCAAGAATCAAGTCATTTTTCGATGTCGCCTTGTGAGTGGAACTGCTGCTGAGGAAGACCACGTGACATTGAACGAAATAAATAATAATCGGACAGTGCAATATCTGAAAAATATGGCGGGTGCAGTAAGGCTTCACATTTAAGCGTTTCCATGTAGGTTATAACAGATTTAGCAATGTGAGGCCGGACGTTGCCATACTGCACAATCACTTTAGGTGCCTTTTCTGCATTGAGGCCGCTTTTCGGCTCAATCGCATCAATTGAAATCGATACCATTTACCATCGATGGTTTCGTTCGGTTTCAGCAGCTGATAGTAAATAACGCCGTCTGTCCCACCAACTAAATTTTCATCACCTGTTTCGATTCGATTAAGAAAGCCCTTACTTTTTTGCCGTAGGAGCAATGGTTCAGCATGTGAAATGGCGATCCTCAACGTCAGAGATTCAGATGCTTTCTAGCAAATACATACAGATAAGGGACTCAAGTGTCTTGTTTCTGCATCATACCCTGCGCATGCCTTCGCCTTTATTGGCTTAGACAGCACATCAAGTCGCTTTGATATAGCTCGACAGTGACTCCCTATGCAGAAACGACCACTTCTTGCGTTTGACGCGGTTCCTCATCGTACAGCGTCTCCAATTCACCATCTTCGAAGGTTTTTGGCCTTCCTTCACGTGGACGGTCGTGAATACCAACCAGACACGAAACGTTATTTCATTTGGAGTAGCACCTCCGTAAACTTTTTGTAGTTCCTGAAGTGCTTCGGCCACCGATTTCTTTGACTGAAAGTAAAAAATCCGCACGTCTCGCAATTGACGAATACTTAACCAAAAATCGGTCACGAATGTGGAAATGAAGTTTCGTTTCGAATATGTCAAAACCGATCACCACAAATTACTGAAACTAGGTGATATATCAAAAATATACCAAAATACCTTAGCAGATTTGTGATAAGTTCAGGGTGCTTTACCGATAGCTAATATCTAGCCACAAAAAATTTTTAATTTGTCTTCACAAAGGACTGAACGAACGGTTTAACTGGGATTCCTCACCAAAGCATTGACAAACAGTGGAAACTTACTACCGTACAAAATATTTCTCTTCTAAATTCTCTTTTTAAGTCTCTTTATTCGTCTTAAGTACTTTATTAGTCTTGAGTACCACTACTTCAGTTGAACAACTACAGCATCTTAGCTATGTAGAAGACCCCAACAAACTCTCAGACAACGAACAGCCTCTTCGTCCCTTCTCACTGATCGTATTAAGTGATTATTAATTATCATTAATTGAGTGCGACAACTATGCTCTCTACCAAATATATACACATACTTGCTGCCAAGTAAAATTCTCATCTAAATATCAACGATTCGAGCGCTACTACTTGAGACCGTCTTGTTACAGGAGCGCTGAACTCAAAACTTTCACGCCTTTGTGAAAAACTTTATGCCCTGACAGGCTAAACACCGACATTTTTTTTTATTACAAGTAGATGCGATTACCGTTAAAGAGCGGCATTTTTCAGCATCACTGAGTGACAAACAATTTGCGTCGATAACTTTGACGGCGAAGAAAGCGTACAAAATATGCAATGTTAGACATTTGTTCAGTGCAACAAGAGCGCTGGAGAGCAGGCGAGAGTGTGTTATATGAGCACACAAAAATCTAGCAGAAATAGCAACAACAATATCTAGAAGTAGTCGTAGTACACTCACTTAGTTAAGCATATCTCGTAATTAATTTGCAAAGTTCGGGTAGCAAAAGTTTTCGATAACTAAACTCATTGGTGGACTCGTTGCTGCACTCAGAAATTAATTTAACTTTTCGAAAATGTCAATTGTGTGCCACTTGACCTCGCTGCGGGGGGATGAGCGGGTCGCAGGGAGTTCAACTAAGGGAGAGAGCAAAAAGAGGGAGTGGGCAAGGCAGTGAGCGGCAGGGAGTTGACTACGGTAATGCTATTACAGCGCAAAGATGAGAAGCGCCACAACGCTGTGGCACTAAAGTGCACTTAAGGGCATACATACATACATAGATGGATGTAACTGTATTGTACCTGTCTCTTATACACATCTAGATGTGTATAAGAGACAGTGCTATTACAGCGCAAAGATGAGAAGCGCCACAACGCTGTGGCACTAAAGTGCACTTAAGGGCATACATACATACATAGATGGATGTAACTGTATTGTACAAGCGCGCACAGTGTGCTAATTTAAATGTCAATATTAGCAGCAATGCGAGCTCATAAATATTTCAATTGTGCTGCGCTGCCATGCATTGGCCGCACAGTGTTGCAACTGACCCAACGACCCATTAACTAACCCATTGACGGTCAACTAGGATGGCTGGCAATCGCTCGTGCAAACGCCATAGCTACCAATTGTGCTGACTGTAATGCGCCGTTAACAGTTCATAAGCCGAACACCCACCAAAAACCGCCAATATCTGCACCACCCCTCTCTCGCTGGACCAAAAACACCAGCAGTGCCTTTAGCCTTTAGCGTTGCTGCGTCGCCATCATCTTTGCAGTTTCCGCACACTTAACGCCAAAGAATCGCTTCATTTCCATTTCGTTTCCGTTCGACGTGAAATTGTCATTCACAACGCGACGCGCGCCCACCGTTGCCAAGCGACCCGCGGCTTTTGCGAGCCACCCGCTATTTTTGCATAGTCGTTCTTCTCGTTCTTCGGCACTTTGCTTGTTGTTTGCATATTTTATTCCGAGTGCATTCAAAACGACCAGAACTGAAGCGTTTAGTTCATTGTTTAAATACTTGAATGCTCGGAAATCGCATGACCGTTGGGTTCGCGCCACCGCCAGCGCTACCGAAAAACCGTTAACAGCGCTTTTGCACCACTTACCTGCTGTGCTTACCTAATGTGCGACGTGAGTGCGGAGTGCGCGACCATGAGGTCAGACACAAAAGCTTCATAATATCCTACAAGTATCTATTCAATTGTGAAGCGTGAATAAAAATGCTGCTGGAACACGTGACACATGTAGAGGTGCACGAATTTAATGGCACTTTTCTACATTTCGACATGGCCAGCTTTAAATTTGCATGCCACAAAGTATTCACGGAAGGTATCAAGTTTATGGGCGCTTAAAGATAATATTTATAGCAAATGGTGAGCCATACGCAAACTGGAAATTGTAAGTGGAAATTAGAGAAGAAATATGAAAATGGAGAAATAAGGTAAGGGAGGAGTTGAGAAGATTATATATTGTAATTATTAAATCCGTAAAAAAAGTAATAGGAACTGGCCGAAACATAGATGAGCTCATTGGGAGATCCATTATAATCAAAATATTGGTATTTATTTAATAATAGGTTGTCAAAAAAGTCTTGAGGTATTTTTTATCTATTTTTTTATTATTTTATAACGGTTTGATGACTCATGCCCAGCTCTTGACCTATGCGATCTCTTTCGACCAATTCAGCGATTTTATCGCAATTTTCGACGACAGGCCTTCCGGAGCGTGGCGCATCTTCGACCACCTCTACACCAGAACGTAAACGTTGAAACGGGTCCATAAACTGCACAAATTTTATTGGCGGTTTGAGATGCATTTTTGCCTTTATCATAGTAGTACTATAAAATATGCCGTATTTTCTCTATATTTTGCTCCATTTTTGCGACGCTATAACTCACGAACGACTTAAAAGAAACGGTAATCAATCAAACACATGTTAGCGCATGAAATGAGCTTTCCAAAAAGGTATAGCATGACCCATGCGACGAATAAAACTAGAACTACGCGCTCTCAGCGCCAACTAGCGAAAATACCGCAAGACTTTTTTGACAAACTAATAGTATTTTCATTTTACTGGACCTCCCAATGAGCTCATTCTATTTTTCGGTCAATTTCTAGTACCTTTTTTTATACAGATTTCTTTCTTTGCCTTTAAAGGCAACTACTAAATATCGTTCAGTCTAATTTCGGCTCCCTGTGTTTAACAGAATCTCTCAGCACAATCTGAGATTTTTTCTAGTTAAATCGTGTACTTTCTATAGTAAAATTGTAGTTATTGCATGGCGGTGACCATACCTTAAACACGAAGTTATCTTCCTGCCTTAGTTACGTAAAATTTATGCAAAATAAATAAAATACAGCTTGTGCAAGAACTGAAGGCACTCGATCTTCCCAAGCAACATCGATTCACTCTATGGGTTCTTGAAAAGTTCCAAGAAGATCCGACATTTTCGAACCAAATTTTGGTCCCCGATGAGACTCATTTCTGTTTCAATGGGTATGTAAACAAGCAAAATTGCCACGCTTAGGACGAAGAACAACCTGAAGAGATTCAAGAGCTGTCATTTTATACAGAAAAAAGGTTTGGCATGGTTTGTGTACCGGTGGAATCAACGTTCCATATTTCTTCAAAAATGATACCGGTGAGAATGTAACCGTCAATGGCGACCACTATCGTCATAATTACCGACTATTTGCTGCATGAAATTGAAGCTCGTCATCTCTTCGATATTTGGTTTCAACAAGATCGCGACAGTTCTCACACATCGCATCATTTAATGGACTTATTAGAGAACACTTTGGTGAGCAAATAATTTCACATTTTGGTCCGGTGGATTGGCCACCAAGATCGAGTGATATCACCCGTTAAACAATGCGGATAAATCCACTTCGATTCAGGACTTGAAACAAATCATCACGGTTGTCAATCATCAGTTACCAGTCGAAATGCTCAAACAAGTCATCGTAAAAATTTTACTCAACGAATGGAAAATCTGAGACGAAGCCGCGGACAACAGTTGAAAGAAATAATCTTCAAAAAATAAATGAAAGAATGATCTTTCGAATGATAATGAACATTCCCCATTAGATTTGAGTTTCTATATTTTTTCTTTAAAAAAGTAGAGAACCTCGAAATGGATCATCCTTTTTTTTTACATATTTAGGACATGTATAAAAAATTTCTTGAGATCAATAATGGATCCATTCCCAATACTGTTAGGTCTGCGTAATATTTCAAGTCTTTGCTCATGGCAAAGCCGCATACAGCCAAGTAGCAACTAAGGCACCTCGTATCGTATTCGACCCGAACTATCTTGAGAAGCAGGGCAGCAGTGTAGAGTATCGCCAAGAACACGCTATGATTTCTACTGGGTGTGGGGACGCAAAAGTATCGATGGTACTGAGATTGTTGAGATCTCAGATCTCGAGATTGTCAAGAGTGGTGTAGGGCTGTCAGGGCGATAACGCGATCGATATTGGTAAACCAATGCATTTTCTTTACGACGATCTGTACAAGAGCATGGCAAGGAAGGTTCGATCTGAAGCAATGATCTATCTGTAATCAAAACTGCAAAGGTCGGGTGCAAAGCGGATGATCAAAACTACACAAAGTTCCAGCTCCCTCTAGAAGAAGAGGCTGTAGAAGCATAATTGGTATACTCACTAGTCACAGTATGGCGTCTTCACAAACCTGCAGAATGGCGCTGACAGATCGAGATGACTGCAGGAAGTGTCAATAGCGAAGGATCAGGGAAGTATCTGTTGTGCACTTCTGCTGCACTAACAAGGAAACACTTCCCCCCTTGGAGGCCCCATGGTATGAAAGCGCTGGCATCCTGAAGAATTACTACTGCTTATGAACATCGTAATGGCACTACATCTGGCATAACTAAGGACCATAAATGATCTATCCGTCTCTCGCGAACCTACCAGACTAACTTAACCTAACCTAGATCTGTATTAGCATAGCTAAAATGGGTTCAGGTTTTTATCGGGTTAAGATTTTTCATCTGACCAGCTTTGTTCAACGATGGCAAAACAGATAATAAACATATTATGCTGCTTAAGTTCAGACGTCTAAGTGGGTAATTATCGTTTAGAGGCATGGAACCCTTATAACTTAAAACCGAAAATTATACTAAGCATTTTCTCTCAAAGAACGAGTATTGAAGTCTTAAAAGTCAATTGGACGACATATTAGTAGCTTCAAAGTAATAGGAGACTGAAACATCGGCATATAAATAGAGAAGGACCGTATATTCAACATTCTCTAGTATTGAGCAAATCTGATTTTAGAATACCGGCTAGTTTCCCTTAAGCAACCCCATGTCTACAACGAAGCTTCCTTCAAAGCTGTTTTTACTCATGCATTACAATCGATCTTATAAAACATAATTGAGCACTTAATAACCAGGTTCCACTTTATTTCTTAAAATTATTGTTTAATATTTATCTTCCTTCTCTTTAATCTCCTACGTTGCAGTGACGCTTTGGACGGCTTTGGCATAACGGAATGCGGCTCGCTCGCCTGCTTGTCGAGTCCTTGTCGCAACGGCGCTGCTTGCATTAAAATCGAAACCAACGAAGTTGATGAGAATGGCGAAAAGGCGGAGAAGTGGAAATGCAAATGTCCAACCGGTTATATGGGACCAACTTGTGAAATCTCCGTTTGTGAAGATAATCCCTGCCAGTATGGCGGCACTTGCGTACAATTTCCAGGCAGCGGCTACCTCTGCTTATGCCCGTTGGGCAAGCACGGTCACTACTGCGAACACAGTAAGTAAAACTTTTGCCGAAAATAACACATATACACACGCACATGTTCACACATGTTGACATCACACACAAATTCGAAGAATCCATCCTCATCCCTGCAAATCGTTAGACTTTTTTAAAGTGTTCAGTATTCGTGCATCCAACCATTGGTAATGTTGTACTCTCGTCCACATGTACTCGTATTCGTACTCGTACATATATAGGTACATTGCAGAAGTGCAACTTGAAAAACAGGAAACTAATCTAAATTAAACTACCCAAAACCGCTGTGAAACCCATTCCTTTTTCTTTTCCTACAAAAATATCCCAAACAAAAAAAACAAGATTTTCCTGCCCATACGATTTCCCCCGCTACAATCAAGAATCTTACAGATCTCGAAGTCGCGCTACCGTCGTTCTCGGGCAGCGTCAATGGACTCTCGTCATTTGTCGCCTACACTATGCCCATACCATTGGAATACTCGATTGAGTTAAGCTTCAAGATATTACCGCAAACCATGTCCCAAATATCATTGCTCGCGTTCTTAGGGCAATCCGGTTACCACGATGAGAAGAGCGATCATTTAGCGATCAGCTTCATACAAGGCTACATTATGCTCACTTGGAATTTGGGTGGCGGACCGCGACGCATATTTACACAGAAACCGATTGATTTCCGTTTGGATGCACCGCGTGTGCCGTACGAGATCAAGGTTGGACGCATTGGACGTCAGGCCTGGCTTTCGGTGGATGGTAAATTCAATATTACTGGTCGTTCACCGGGCAGCGTTAGTCGCATGGATGTTATGCCCATACTCTATTTGGGTGGACATGAGATAGCGAATTTCAATACGTTACCGCACGATCTGCCGCTACATTCGGGCTTCCAGGGTTGTATCTACGATGTGAACTTGAAGGCGGGACAAGTGACAGTGCCGCTGCAGGAGACGCGCGGTGTGCGTGGACGCGGTGTGGGACAATGTGGCACCAGAGAATGCCACCGGCATGCTTGTCAACACGACGGTGCCTGTTTGCAACATGGCGCTACTTTCACGTAAGTTTTCTAAAACTTTTGGCATAAATCAGGGTTTGAATTTAATATATGGCATGGCTCTTAATTTTAGCTGCATCTGCCAAGAAGGCTGGTACGGACCACTGTGTGCTCAGCCCATCAATCCATGTGACTCATTCAACAACAAATGCGCCGAAGGCTCAACGTGTGTGCCGCTGGTAAATGGTTACGAGTGCGATTGTCCGGTGGGCAGAACGGGCAAGAATTGTGATGAAGGTAGGTCCAGTCTTGTATACTTAAACTTTGTCCGTCTATCAAATAACTAACTTTCGCTCTCGCAGATATACGCTCGCTAAGTGATGTCTCATTGACCGGTCGTCGCTCTTACTTGGCTGTACGTTGGCCCTACCTCTATGATAGCTCCGATAAACTTGGTTCGAAGCGTTCGCAAATTATCAGTTATCGCAACTTTACGAAGAAACTAATGCCACCGAAACCGATTGCTTCCTCAAATCAGCACTTCGTAATGAAGTTGCTCAACGAAGTAGAAAAACAACGTAATTTCTCACCTGTACCGCTTATGGGCTCGAAGACTTTCGAGGAACATCATCGCGTGCAATTCTTCTTCATTGAATTCCAATTGCGTCCGCTCTCTGAACGTGGTCTACTACTCTACTTTGGCACTTTGAATAATAATCAGGATAAGAAAGTCGGTTTCGTGTCACTCTCACTACAGGGTGGTGTTGTGGAATTCCGCATTTCTGGTCCTAGTAGCCATGTGACGGTCGTACGGAGCGTACGTATGCTCGCAATTGGTGAATGGCATAAGATCAAGATGGCACAACGTGGCCGCTGGCTGACGCTTTGGGTTGAGGGTAGCGCATCATCGGCGCTAGCACCTTCCGCCGAAGTACTTGTTGAACCTGATTCCCTGTTATACATTGGTGGTCTCAAAGACTTATCGAAATTGCCACATAACGCCATTTCTGGCTTCCCCATACCATTCCGTGGCTGCGTACGCGGTTTGGTGGTCAGCGGTACGCGCATTGTGCTGAACGAAACAAATATAATGGGTAAGTAGTGGAAGAGAGGTGTGCGGAAATGTGGATTTGAGATTGACGACTGTCTCTTACTCTTTTCAGATTCTCGCAATATTCGCGACTGTGATGGCACTGCATGTGGCGGCGATTCTTGCGAGGCGGGTGGCCATTGCTGGCTCGATGAGAAACTGCAACCGCATTGTATTTGCCCCGAATATGCGAAAGGTGATCGTTGCGAATACTCGGAGAGTTGTAAGCTGATACCATGCAAGAATAATGGTCGTTGTTTGCGCAGCGGACGTTGCTCATGTCCGAATGGCTGGGGTGGATTTTACTGTGAAATAGGTGAGCTAATACAAAGCGTATATTTTTTTTTGAGGGGAAAATATTGAAATTTTTGTTTTGCTTGGAGTTTGAGGCATCGCATGGAGGACAATCGGTACTCCAAAGAAAACCTTATAGTCCACCTCGAAATACATCAACATATGACCAATCAACTCAATTCTTGATAGATCTAATAACCCCGACAGTCAATGAAAAACGATTTCGTGCAAACCCACTGTAGGTGTGGTTGGGAGTGATAGAGAAGTATTTTTGTATGGAATAGTAAATACAAAAAATAATTTCGGATACTTATAGTGTAGGCCATTACAAACTAAAGTCCTTTCTCGTCGAATCCAACTCATACTTTATCAGTTTTTCCGGTCCCTGTGGTTGTTGTTCATATTCGTGCGGCAACGTGAGATTTTTCTAAAACTGTTTACAAGAATTCTGTCATTTCTTCATCCGAGTCTATTGCTGTTACGTAAGCCAGATTGTAGTAGACTCTTGGAGTAGCTAAATAAATTCATCGAATGGTCTCTTTAGAAAGATAAACCAACTTACACGACAAACAATCGTCTAGCTGGACACAGTGGACTCGCCAAAAGCTAAGATAGCCATGGAACCAATCAAGAGGAAGAACATAAAACAAAAGAAATATATTCACAAAGATTTCCAAGCCTGGTCTAATTAAAAACAAAGGTCAACTTTGCACTTTTTAGTGCTAAGTGTTAAGAAGTGTAGACAAGTGTAAATGGGATCACGTCATTTAAAATCAAACTCAGCGTGAATGATTGATTGCTGTAAGTGCGGCAGTTACGATCTACAAAAACAAATCTATAAAAGCAACTAAATTAAAACAAATTAAAAAAGCATGACTTAGACTAGTGTGAAACAGCTGGAAGGCTGCACATTTAACATTGAGAGGCATTACACGACGCAAGTGGCTAATTGCGCGAGTTCGAATTCGAATTCGACTTTGACTTTACTAACATTATATAGTCATATAGTTACGTATCGATGAATCAGCCTGCCTTGTAAGCGATTAAATGGAGGAAATAGCTTCTAATAGCAATAGAATGGCCATACAAATTACGCGAAACAAATTACTCATGCACTTTTCGAAACAATTAGTTAATTGTTGTTAAATTTATATTTAAATACACAAGTATGTATGTATGTGTAAGTATTGATAGTTGAACCAACGAACACACTTCGCACTAAATACTAATAAAATATTTGGTAAATATTGTAGTAAACTCGGCCTAAGGGCAATTTGTCTTGAGTGAAGTGTCATGAATCTGTATTTATGTACATACATATGTGTGCCGCTTAAAACGTATGTGTGTATGGAACTCCAAGATCTATCTTTCAATTTATCAGTCGTATTTATATACCCCCAACAGAGGATTTTAAGTTTGACATCAAGTTTTTAGCATCCAGCTGGAAACCTCGACGAACTTATCCTTCAGTCCTTGAGATATCGTTCTGACATATTCCACACTTTCTTTTCTTCCCAAGAAACGAACAATCGGACAACTCAAGCATGTACCATATCAATTGAAAAGTCCCCGGCCTGCCATAGCAAGACACATTTTCTGGCAAAATTCGTTTTTTTGTTTTTATTCAACTTAGTTCCCTTCAAGGGTGATTGATAAATGATGCATTTTCCGGCACATTAGGTCTATTGTGTCTGCAAGGGTGATATTCTGATTATAGCGACCCTCCAACTTACCATTTGTTCTTGGCTTTAAACTCAGTTTCGGCGATCACCTCTTGATTCGCCGAAAATTTCTTCCCAGCAAACATTCTTTTCAGACCCCAGAACAGGAAATAGTCGCTAGGGGCCAGATCTGCCGAATACTGTGGAAGCAGATTTAATTCGAAACCCAATTTATGGATTTTTGCCATCGCTTTCACTAACTTCTAACAAGGGGCGTTGTCTTGGTGAAACAGCAATTTTTTTTTTTTCAATGCGGCCATTTTTCTTTCTTCAAATGATCCAATAACGCTATGTAAAGTTTCTATTGATGGTTCTTCTTTTTTCAAGGTAGTCAAAAAAAGTTATTCCTTGCGCTTCTCAAACTACGTACATCAAAACCTTGCCCACCGACTGTTGCGTTTCTCTACGCTTTGGAGTGGGTTCACCATGAGCAGTGTACTCGAATTTATCCGTTATCCATTTAACTTCGGAGTGTCATCTTTCATCCATTGTCAGACTTATTTATTTGCGACATATCTTCATGAAAGTTCGCACAACTATCATTAAAGACAACACTAGAATATCTGAGCATGTCCGAGCATTCAGAAATCTTCGCATGCGTTGGCTTTATACCGGAACTTTTATAATTTGGAGTTGCTAAACCAAACTCTGGCGTCTTTTTCTCTGAGGGTAGAAACTATATTCTCATAACAGGGCGTCGATTTCGTCCTGAGCACTAATCGTGCATTCAAATCTGGTTAAATAATGCCTGACCTCGCCATCAATGGCTTCGTGTAACTTTGTGAAAAGACTAGTAGGAGGGCCAGATCGCAAGGTAACCGTAAAGTTGACGATCTGGCAAGTAAGGAACCTCAGCTCTGCTAGTACTTGAATGTGAACAGTTTGGTGCTCCCCTCTTCTCGTGTGTACTACTACTGGATAGCTGGGCTTCATAGGAGCTTGGTCAGCGCTGGACTGCCATCGTTTTGCCTCTCAGTAAGTTTAGTCTCTCCGTAGTTGTGGAGGTTCTAATAAGCCTTATCGAGATCTTGAAAGGTTGAGAATGTTACCGGATGTCAGCTGCTGAAACTACATGGGAAAAGACGAGGTGAAAACACCTAAAACTTTTTCTTGAATGTTCTGCGTTAGAGAGATCAATTCTTAAACACTTGGGATTTCGAACTTTCAGACATTCCACCGAAACCCCTTTGAAAATTTGTATTGGCCACAAAACGCTTTGCTGACTTTTAAGTTCGAATTGCAGGAGTTCCATTTGCATGACTTCATCAAGGGCTGCATATAGTAGTCCAAGCGGGATCGCTGGATCAGCCATCAAACCTAACCTAAATCTTCTAACTGAGTATACAGGACGCTCCACAAGGGCATATAGCTTTTGTGCTGGCAATGTGCACACGTTATGGGTATTAAAAATTCGTTGCAGCCGAAGTTAGTTTTTTTTTTTGCTGTTAATGCTTTTTCACCTTCCAGAGTGTGAACGATTAATTTTCGTATGCAAATTTGCACACACACTCTACATACATACATACATACACACATATTTACACCCGAAATATGTGCCCAGTAAGCGAAACCAAACTAACGGCGATACGCGTCGAAAAGCAAACATTAATTGTAGAAATACAGTAAATATTTAAAGTTGAGAGCGAAGCCAAAAACAAAGACAACAACACAAAAATTCAAATAAAAACAGGCGAACGCATTTCAGGTGATGCGGATAGGTACTAAAACGGGTTTGAATTTCTACAAAATTGTCTACAAAAGTTAGAACTGAAAAATGAACAACAACAAAAAAGCATAACAAAAAACCGAAAAACACGAAACATGAATTATAGCCGAAAATCAAGCGAACAACGACAGCAGCAACTAATTTACATATGTGCAGTAGTTGAACAACAACAACAACAACAAAAACAAAAACCACCACAAACAGTGATAGTAGCAAAAAATAATAGTAACAATAACAACAAGCGGTAATAATAACAAAAACAGTAATATTAACAAAAACAACAACCACAATAGTTGTAATAAAAACAATAATAATAATAGCAACTACAAGAAAGCAACCTTGACAGCAACAGCTGGTCCAAGTCACTGACTGGCGCTGATGAAATACGCGCAGCCGCTCTGTCAGCTGGACTAACTGTTCTCAGAACGTTGAATTCGGTTATGCAGCCGACTTAACCACATTAAAAAGGTATATTTGTACAAAGATACGTATGTATGTATATGTGTGTATGTACCTATATAAGCGGGGTTCTTGGGTAACCCTTTCTACTTTTCGGTAGAATTCTTTGTAATTAAAAGCGCCCAACAAACCGAAAAATGCACGCGTGAACCGTAACACAATACCAACAACAACTGCATTCGTACTTAACACCAGTTGAATAAAAAAAAACAGCAACAACAATAAAACGTTATTTTACATTCAAACAATGGAAGACGTTGTTTGTTGAGCAATCGCCGCAGCAATTAGAGTCAGGCGAGAATTGGAATTGCAAATACACAACAACAACAACTATCGCAACAACTAACAACTAGACAAAGTTCTTAGAAAACTTTGAAGATGTTGTCGATCCAACAAAGCGCTGAGTTAGATTACGCGCATTAGCAGAAGACAAGGCAGAAGCGTTGAAACGAGATCAGGGCTGCTGTGGAAAAAACTAAGCAAAAGACGCCGCAGCTATATAAATACATATATACAGACATTTTTACATACATACATACATATATATGTACACTTTTACAAAGCAAACAAGGCGTGTAGGTACATTTTAAACGAAATCCAGAAATGTAGATAGGTCCAACATAACCACGAAATGTCTCAAAAACGTTTTTATGGAGCTTTTTCACTGATAAATGCTCTGCTTTCTCAATGGAATACACAAAAAATCTGCTTTAAATGAAAATACTTGCAAGAATACTGTCTAGGCGATCCATCAAATACAAGGCACGTTACGAGCTGCATCGTAGCTATAATAGCCTTCAGATATGAAAACAGTCCTTACAAGAACTTTGATCGGTCAGTTTGTGTGGTAAGTACTGTGACTCGATCTAAACAATTCCTTCGAAGATTACATCATTTATTTAGACAATAACCCATGCAAAGTTTGACGGAAATATCTCGTCGAATTTCCTCAGAGACTGCACCATGGCTTCAGACAATAATGCGTGCCAAATTTTGTGAAGACATCTCGTCAAAGACAAAAGTTTTCTATACAAAGACTTGAATTCGATCGGTTAGTTCATATGGCTGCTATATACTAATACCAACCAGTATCTTCCAGTCCGACAAATGAGTAGGTTCTTAGTGAGTAAAGAATGTGCGAAAAATTTCAGAACGATATCTCAAAAGCTGAGGAACTAATTCGTATATAGTACTTATATTCAGACTGGCAGAGGAACATGGCTTAATTGACTCAGCTCGCCACACTGCTCATTTATATGTATATACTTTATGGGGTCTCAGACGTTTCTTGCTGGCTGTAAAAAACTTCTTGACAAATTCGATATTCCCTATTCAGAGTACAATACATTTCACTCATGCCATTTCCCACTGGGCATATCAACAAGCATCAAAATGCGCATATCGGCGTCGCTACGCAAGAGATATAGGAAATTAAAAACTAAATCTGTTTATAATTATAGCCTACTTCATATAAGGCACACTTTGCTCACCGCATAATTATTAGCAAATATATCTACACGTGAATTACTTGAAACATTTAATTTAAAAAATCTATGCTTTACATTAGCAATTATAACCGTTACAATGATTACTTTTACTTCTCGCTTTCTTTCATTTCACGCATTCGCTTACGCCACTTCCTGCTACGTGTCGTTGATTTTTCTGCCATATTCTACAACATTTCTTCGGTCGCMCAGCCATGAGTAAGCCCACAACGCCAAGCTTCCGTGGTAATAGTTACCTGATCTTGCCGCCGCCCCGCATACCGATGAAAGACAAACGTCGCGGTCCATCCATGTATGTCCGACCACGTGAAGCCATTCAAGTTTCGTTGAATTTCTCCAGCATCGAACCCGACGGCCTGCTGCTGTGGAGCGAGCACGATCGTAATAAATTTTTGGGCTTAGGCTTAGAGAATGGTCACCTGAAAATGGCTAGCAATTTGTTAGATTCCAATAATGATACCGTGGAGATGCCATCGACCGGCTTCATTGCGGATGGCAGTTGGCACTTGGCAAAGGTCATAATGGATCGCAATCGTTTGGAGTTGCAATTGGATGGTGAAGTGATATTCTCAGAGAAGGTGCTAGACGCGGCAGCTGCTGCGTTAGCAGCAACAACACAACGAACAGTGTTAACGACGCGACGCTCGTTTGCGGCACGGCGTGGTAAGGAACCATCAATCACCTACGAGGATGTCTTCTATTTGGGTGAGTGGAAATTAATTCAAAGTATAATTACTTTTAATAGTCTCAGGTCAGTCTCAGTTATTAGAACAAAAATTAACAAAAACGTTAAACTATCCTCCAAATTCTTTACAATGAAGTAGTTTACTACACTTTCTCCGACTTTCTTTTCTATTTTTTGTATAATTTGTGCTTAGTAGCAATGAATGAAACCTTTGACTATTTAACCTCATCTCTAGAAGCTGTTACGACTATCTGGAGGGCCTTTAGGAATATATTTTTGCATTCGATTTCCAACAATTGGTTGAGAGACTGAGATCCGCTGCTCCGTCGGCTATACCAAAACCAAAATCTTGCAAGACCAGCAAAGATTCAACAAAATAAGAAATGGGTTCCCAGAATAGATCTTTCCACTTATGTTGAAGCCAAAATAGGGACTCGACACTTGAGTCAAAATCAAGCGAAAAAGTACAAAACAAAAACATTGATATAAATACTTTCATCAGAGGTGTCACATGTTTTGATATTCGGTTCGGTTCTATATAAAGTCCTCACTTTCAATAATATTCCTGGGAAGAAAGTAATATTTCTTTCGAAAAACAGAGTAAAGCAGTTTCTGGTATTTTATTAAGATCACTCCAAGCTGTGAAGCCATCAGATTAGGACACTGTTCTACGGATCTGTGACGCTTCTGTGAACAAATAGCAGAAACACCAGAGAACAAGAAAAAATAGACAGGCTATTAAACAATTTATCCAATTAATTAATTAAAAGAACACAATTCACCATTAACACGGGAGCTTTGCTAAGCCCTCTTCATTAGACTGGGTTAAGCAAAGTTTTGTAATAACAGCATAGTACACATTAGACCACAGGTCGCAGTGCGTTCTTCAAATTTCAATATAGTCTAATCCAACCTTTTTGTGGTGTTGTCCTCTGGCATCGAGTGGTACTGCATATGTTTTTTGTGAGAACGTGTCATGAGAGAAGTTCGCATTGTCATGGATTGACTGCAAATGAAGTAAATACATAGACCTACTGCTTCTTAATAATACCAGACGAAAATTCAGTTTAATTTGAGCTGAAGTATTCATCTCACAGCACGTCAATGCATTTTGCGAACTTTAAGAACAAATCGGTATCTAATTTTAGCGCTTCATCTAGTCCCTTGAGGTGAAAATCTCCTAGATATCTTAGATGAGTTATAGTGCAGAAGCATTGGAAGTCTTCCAGCGTGTCTCTCATGCCTACCGCCCTTCAGTCTTTTCGAGACCGTATGAGTAAAAAGCATGCGTGTTTCCCCCTGAGGATCTTGTACACTATCCTGACGTTCATTGTATATCGTTTTTGGGGACCTACATACCTCCAAACTTTACAAATCACTCATCATCCCCGTGCTGCTATATGGTGCAGAAGATGGGATGATGATGATGACATCATCTGATGGCTTAACGAATTTTCACGAGAACAGTTCTGTGGAGGATTTATTGTTCTTTGCGCATTGGCAACAGTGAATATCGGAGTCGATAGAGCGATGAGCTGTACGCAATACACGACTTCGTTGACATAGTTCTGCGGATTAAGAGTCAGCGGCTACGCTGGCTAGTTCATGACGTCCGAATGAATGAAAACACTCCAGCTCTGAGAGTATTCGACGCAGTGCCCGCCGAACGAAGCAGAGGAAGAGTAAGACCTGCACTCCGTTGAAAGACCACTTAGAGAAAGACCTGGCTACACTTGGAATCTTCAATTGGCGGCAAACAGCGAATGTTAAGAACGACTGGCGCGCTGTTGTTAACTCGACAAAACCTCATAGGCGTTGTTTATGTTATTAAAAAAGGAGAAGCAGAAGACATTCACCGACTCACTGCTTCTTAATACAATGGGAATGATCAATAAGAACCTTTTCATAAATTTCAAGAGTCAAGGAGTTATTAATAGAAGGCATAACGAATTTCGCGATCATAAAACTTGTCTCAGCAATCACATTGACAGCGAGTGACATCAAGTCAGATTTAAGACTCGTCCGATCAATCAATAGCACATTCAGCCAACAGATTATAACAGCATACTATATACACACATACATGTGCATATGTATATTTTCACTAAGTCTGTTTGTATGAGGTTTTATTAGAAATATCTTTCGCCAGCGAAATCAGAGTTTTATAGCCTTTCTACCTCGCCTGCTGCGCACTTTTCGCTGTCAACCGGCAAATCAAACATTTCACATTCAATAAAAAAATGTAAAAAAACAAAAAAAAAAAAACAACAAAATTAAATTCATCAATGCTAAGCATCAGCTAAGATTTATAGTAAATAGGTGCATATGTGTTAGTGACAGTCACTTTATTGACAACTGTCGCGCCACTTACCTCGTCTCCAGCGTACAGGTGACGAAAATTCCGACACGCGCACTGCAACTTTAACTTTACGAGCCAACAAAGTTCGAAAAGTTAGAAAGTTGTCATTAATATTCAAATCTCCTTTGTTTGGCTGTTCGTCTGCCGTTTTTTAAGTGTTTATTCACGCAAACTCTCAGCGTTATTGTTCGAAAGCAGCCGAAAGCCGAAAGCTAAATGCTAAATGCTGAAAGCTAAAAGCCTTTCATTGCAGTTTTTTATGCGTTTTTTGGCAACGTCTTCGACCGTCGCCGCTTGGCAATCCGTCCGTCCCACTGGCCGCGCGTTGTTTGTTGCTGCTTGCTTATTGCAATTTACGCGCTTGTCGCCGCCAGCGCCGTTAATCGACGATCGATCAGCGACTTCGCTAATAAAAACCGCAAACCACAGCAAAAAATAATCAATTGCTACTTGGCAAAAAACGCAGTGGAAATAAACGTAAACTGCGCGCTGCTGCACTCGACCGGCTGGCGACGCAAGACGACTGCGCGCACATTCACTTGTGTTGCACTTTTCTGCACTTCACTTCACTTCAGCGCCCTTCACTGCACCGCGCTGCCCTAACTTGGCTGCCACAGCAACGTATTTTTTTGTGTTTTTTGGTGTTTTTGCTGTTGCGTCCACTTTTGCAATTCGCGTAAGCCACTTTTTTGTTAAGATTTTCGTTTTTTTTTTTTGTGTTGTTGGTGTTATATTTCACGAAAGTCGCTACGAAAAAGGGGCACACGCTTCTCATTAAACTTTTTCCACACTTCTCACCTACTTAATTTATTAACTTTTTTAATCTAAAAACTTTTTGTGTCTTCTATATTTTAATTAATTTCTGTAATCTATCCTCCTGCCTTTCCTGCGTTACACACAAAGTCTGCATTTGCAACACGACCCAACTGAGCTCAAGCGACAGTAAACAATAATTGTTTGAACGCCAACCGACGTACCACTGAACGCGCGTCACCGACCGCACTGCTGTACTAACCCGGCCAACTTTGGCCAACTTGCTGATCTGCACTGTTTCATGAACTTTTCATTCTACGTTTTCGTGTTTTCTTTGGCGCTACACTCAACCAACTGCGAGGCAGCGCAGCCAGACAGCTAGAGCGCGCACGATCACTTGCTCGCACTCGCGACTCTATTTGCTTTTGCTGTGCGACTTTTTGTTGTACTTCTTTTTCAACGCGTTGTTGTTTTGTTAACTGTTTATTTTTTAAGCTCTTTTTCACCATAAACGTATAATCGCCATGACGAATGTATCTACTAGAATCTAGATACAATTTAAGCTGCGTCTCTGTATTCGTTTGCCGTCCCTGTTTTCATGTGACGTTCTCAAACAGCGATTATCCCTGTCACTGCGCCGACAATCGGTTAGCCGTCTGACTTAGTATTAGCTTGTCTCGCAATCTAAGTCTAACTTACTTAAATGGGCTTGTATACAGCTTCGTCTTTGCACTGTTAATGCGACTTCTTTGCGTTAGTCCGGTGTTTGCTAATTCAATTGCACGCTCTTCAACACACGCGTCGACACACAGAATTCGTGGCAAAAGGTGAGCGGCACAGCGCAAACTACATTACAAACCTGCCTTAAAAGTCGTGCTGAGCTCGCTCGTCTAACAAAAAGAACACTTTGTAATCGCGTTGTTATGTTACGTGTATATACATCTTTACTTCGCGCTCTCCGCGTTGGCAAGCACTCTACCGGCGCGAGAGCGCTGACTAAGCAAACAGCTGTTTGGTGTTCAGTTGCTTGAAACAGGTAACAGGTAACGAGCTGGTCGCAACTCAAATCCGGTTTGAACTCGCATGTTGATGAATAGTTGAAGTGTTGATTATTAGTATTCTTGGTGTGGTTGATGTCTCGAATAAGTTTTAAAGGCTTTAACATTTCGGGCAGCTCAAAGTTATGTTTACCAAGAGGAATGGTATGAAGCGCGCTACTGGAGTAGAACTTCTTACAAGCGCCACTCGTTGCGACCCATAATCATGCAATGACGTTATAAAAATTCGTCGGAGAGTAATTGAAATCGGCAAAAATAGCATTGATGTCAAACTGGAAGATCTGCGTTCACATTTAACCAAGCAATTAACTGATATCCTCTAGAACAATAAACTCGTCTCTTTAACCGAACTTTGTATATTCGAAATTCGAGATTCATCTAATAAATTGCTTCTTCTTCGGGGCCAATCGAAAGACTCAAAACGTTAAATTATCTGCTTACCGAAGTGTTCTCTCATTAAATCTATTGATTGAGGAGATTTGTGGGAAGTAGCGAGCTTCAATTTCAGGCATCAAATAGGCAATTATCATAGCCCGATAATGGTCACAATTGACGGTTCTGTTCTCACCGTCGTCATCTTTGAAGAAATATGGGCCGATGATCCGACTGGCCTTTTCTGGATGACATGGCAGCTCTTGAATCTCTTCAGATTGGTCGGATATTTTGCTTGTTTACATCGCCATTGAACCAGAAATGAACCTCAAAGCTGAAAGAAAATTTGGCTTGAAAACTCGGGATATTCTTGAAACTCGCCAAGGGCCCATAGAGCAAAACGATGTCGCTTGGGAAGATAGATCGATTTCAATTTTTGTCAGAACTCCACGTAAAATGCGCCAAGTCGTTCCATAAATCAGTCCGAGTTTGTTCGTCGTGTCGGTCGTAGTCTGAGCTACGGCTGCTAAATTTTTTTTACGTCGTGCTTTGATCGGTCAATTATATTCAATAATGAATACATGGTCTCAAGATATCTAGGTCGTGGTGTTGCGAAACATATTCTTTACAGAAGGTAACTTTTCGTTATAAAGTTGAAGGATTTTTAAACGTTATTCAAGCATCTTTCCATGATGAAATGACAAACAATACGGAACAAAAATGACATAACTCACTCATGATCTGTCAAGAAAACTCTATTGAAACTTTTTTATGATTTATATTCTTTATTAAGCATGTATTTAAAGCCTATTTTTCTTCTCTTCCCACCGCAGGTGGCTTCCCGAACCAAGAACTGGTTAGTGTACGCACACTCGGTCGCTTCAACGAACCCTTCAAAGGCTGTCTGCAGGATATACAATTCGGTGCCGAACCAACTGCCGTTATAACCGATTTCTCAGCTTACAGAGGCGAGAATATTGGCTCATGTGATCTACATGGAGATGAACCATTCATTGTATAGGAGCGGGAACGCGACGTGTGACAACAACAACAACAACAAAAGAGAGATTACAAATCTTCGGTGTAAAAGAACGATAAAAATAACAACTCAAACAAACAATCATACATACATACATACATACGAAAACTTGAAGAAAGCTTAAAAGTTGTGTTTATTTTATTAAAATGAGTGGAGCAAAGAGAGCGAGTGTAAAAGAGCGTAAACTATTGTAGACAGTTATGTATGTATGCTTGTGGGTGTTTAAAGAGCAAATGCTTAAACTCAATAAAGTTGAACTAAAAGCAAAAAGGACGAAAATTAATATAAATAAATAATAACAAAATAATAATAAAAA